GAAGTAAAACTTGAATTGACTTTAATGGGTATCAAAAGTGTCACTCAATCCGATGGAAACTCTTCTCCGCCGACAACTAATTCGACCAATTCTTCTGGGAGTCAAGAAAGTAAGTGAATGTCTATAAGCTTTCAAATCTGAAGCAACCGTTTGTTTGTATAGCAACTCAAGAGTTGGGCGTCGGTTCGATGTATTTGTTTGATTACAACCAGATCTTAGCTGACGGACAGTATTTGATTCCTTTGTGGATAAACTCAACCGAATTCTGTATTGAAAGCGATGCAAAACTCATAAACTCGTTGTGTTTCGAGAAAACCCATCCTTTAGTTCACATCAGTTTTCCGGAAACAGATTTTGAAATCAAATTCCCGCCCATTATTTGGGACCAAACCAGTGATGTCTCCGTTAAGTTGCGCCGAACTATCAATGCTCTCGACTCCGCCACTCAAACAGAATTATTTCAATTATTAAACCGCAATCCATTGGAACCAATGTCTTGTGGAGACCGGGAACAGCTATGGGACCGAAGATATTATCTGTACGATTGTGCCGAAGCTCTCCCCAAAGTTCTCTTGGCTTCTCATACTTGGGAATCGACTGCTTTGTCCGATATTTACGCAATGGTTCAGCACTGGTCACAACTGTCACCTGTGGATTCAATGCAGTTATTGCTGCCTTCATTTCCTGACATTCATATCAGACAAATGACTGTTCAATGGCTTAAAAAGCTTTCTTCCGATGAATTGTGCGATTTTATGCCACAATTAGTTCAGGCGTTGAGGTAATAAAGTGTTTGTTTTTTGTCGGTTTTTAGTTTATTAACTATTGTTATAATTCATAGATTTGATGCTTATATCGACTCTCCGTTGATTCGCTTTCTTTTGGAGAGCTCTTTAGAGTCGGTTAGAGTTTGTCATCACTTGTATTGGATCCTGAAGTGCAATATTAATGACCAGACGTTTGCATACCGTTCCCGAATATATCTCAACTCTCTTCTGGCAATAGTCGGCGAATCGACGAATCTTATGATCGATAGACAGGAGAATCTTTGCCGCTCTCTGTCCTCCATCTGCGATCACGTCAAGTCGGCTAAAGAGTCGCAACGACTTAATACTCTTTTGCTTGAGTTGGAACCAGTCAACGATTATCTCGTCTGTCATGTCATTCATTCATTCAATATATCAGTCTATAATTGGATTTCTTTTTATCAAAACAGATCGAAAATCCAACTGTTCTTCCGTTGTCTCCTTCTATGGGTGTCTGTGGACTCGATGTGAAGCTGTGCTCATATTTCCCGTCAAACTCTCTTCCCTTGAAACTTGTCTTTAAAAATCCCGACACAAAAACATCATTGTCTTCATTGGAGGCTATTTTCAAAGCTGGCGATGACTTGAGACAAGACATGCTTTCGATGCAAATGATCCAAATTATGGACAAAGTATGGCTTAAAGAAGGATTGGATTTAAGAATGGTTTGCTTCGGTTGCGTTGCGACCGACTATAGGAAGGGAATGATAGAAATGGTTCGCAACAGCGAAACGCTTCGTAAGATTCAATTAGAGCACGGATTGACCGGTTCTTTCAAAGACAGACCAATTGCCGAATGGCTTCAAAAGCACAACACCTCTGAACTCGAGTACCACCACTCCGTCGAAAACTTCACGTATTCGTGCGCCGGCTATTCGGTGGCCACTTATCTGTTAGGCATTTGTGATCGTCATAACGACAATATAATGCTCACCACTTGCGGACATCTATTTCACATAGATTTTGGCAAATTCTTAGGCGACTCACAGATGATGGCCGGTATGTGTTGATCCACTTTTTCCCTCCCATCTAATCATCACTAATGATCCCTTTCTTGTAGGCTTTAAACGAGATCGCGTGGCGTTTGTGTTGACTCAGGACATGGCGTATGTAATTAATGGCGGCGATAAGCCATCGAAACAGTTCCAGTTCTTTGTCGATCTGTGTTGTCAAGCGTTTAATATTCTCCGAAAGAACGCCAACTTCTTGTTGTCATTGTTCTCACTGATGATGTATTCGCGTATCTCTGGTCTCAATGTGGAAGCCGTGAAATACATCCACAGAGCGCTTATGCCCGGAGTCACGGAATCCGAGGCGATGTCTCAGTTCACGCGAATGATTGAGGAATCACTTCGCTCTCGATTCACTAAATTTAATTTTTTCATTCATAATTTGGCGCAATTGAGGTTTGCTTTGTTCATAACAGTTGTCATTCAATGCATTCACGAGTATTGTCCGCAGATTCACGGGTGACCACAACGACCAGATGTTGCTGTCATTTATTCCCAAAAAGTTTACCAAAGAATCTGATGGTTTGATCACTGGATTGGAGGCATTGGACTGCTATAAGAAGTACGAGCCCGAGAAAGTGTATTACTATGTGTTGAGAGTGGAGCGCCAGTTCCAACCCGATCCCAGTTATATTCACCGCACGTACCGAGAGTTCATTGAATTCAACGAAAAGCTTAACGTTTCGTATCCGTTGGCGAAGTTTCATATATTGCCGCGATCTTCGAATCTGATCCGTTCGAACACCAGAGATGCGGCCATTCAGAGGATGCAAGAAATCCGAGTCTTCATCGAAGGGTTGATGCTTTTGGCCGACGAGATATCGCACGCAGACATTGTCTACACGTTCTTCCATCCACTGCTCAGAGACCAAGAGGGGGCCAACCAGACCACTATCAACATCTCCTCACCGCCAGGTTTGTCGTCATTTCCTCGTCTGTTATGTCCTTATTCTCTATTATCTTATAAATGATGGCATATATTAGGCAACTCTATGGCAGGCAGTTCTCAGTCCATGTCCCGACGCGACACACTGTACGGACCGGCCATTGCGGGTCAGGTGAAGCTGTCGATCGTCTATAAGAACATGTCTTTAGTCATAATGATAATGCACGCCAAGAATCTGGTGTCGAGTCGCTCCAACGCTCCCGACTGTTATGTCAAGACATATCTGAATCCCGATCCAAATAAGTTGACAAAACGCAAGACTCGTGTCGTCAATAAGACATGTCATCCGACTTTCATGGAAATGATTTTATATCACGGAATACCACTTGAAAAACTGCAACAAAAGACTCTTCAGGTTTGTTGCCATTTATGTTGTCTTTTGTCACATCTATTCACATACTGTCTGTCAATAGGTTTCGGTTTGGGATTACGATAGAGTGACCGAAAACGTGTTGATCGGCGGAACGCATATTATGTTAAACACGTTGGACCTCAAGAACGAGACGTGCGATTGGTTTGCACTTCAAGGAAATTAGTTTCAACCAAATTGTCATTAAATTAATTGAAAAGTTATGTATTTTTAATGATTGCTTTATTAAGAAAAATACTTATTTATTACTTACAGTTTATTATCGTATAATTACTAATGTTTAACCGTTTGTGAGCTAATCGTGCCTTTGATTCAAAGCAAATGTAATAATTTATTTGACCGTAAGTTTATGTAAAAATTTTATCTTTTATTACCGTAATTACTACTATTTATATAAAGAGTTATATAATTACTATATTTTATTCACATTTTTCAAAGTATTATTAATAACTATATTTTTACCACAAATTTTAATAAAAATCAATTTGATTTAACTCACTTTTTCGTATTTATTTACCATTTATTAATTGATTTATATTATATTATAAATAAAAACAAATGATTAACAGTTTTTAAATAATTTTATTGGAAAATTGAATAAAAGTTCAAAACAATTACATTTGAAACAATTAGAGCCTATTTTTCGAGAGTATTTGTCAATAATTTCATTTGAATTTAGAGAATGTGTCATAAAATTACTTCAAATTCAAAAACCCGTGAGTTTTGTTCAAAATTTAATAAACAATTTCTTAAATTTCTTAAATATATTTACAATAAATTGTTATTAACTATTGAAAGGGAAATTTGTTTTCAAAATCTGATATGAATTCAAGAATATTCCATTCATTTGTAATACTAGAATATAAATACTATTTTTTAACAGAGTTTTGAATTTTGAAAACATAACATAAATATAAATTGAAAATTTTGACCACAAATTGGATCTCAATCTCGAAAAATGTGCTCAAATTCCGATCAAACAAATACTTTTTTAGAGATTCTATACAATGAGACAATGAATATATCGTTAGAAAAACATTTAGTAATTATTCAATTTGATAACTAATATACTGTATATTTATATAATTATATCAAAAACAAGTGAAAACCTCTGAAAACCACTAAAAACTGTTTTAATGGAATGTAAATAAGAAAATACATATAAAATAATTACAAAGAGATGTCAAAAGTTTTGCATCAAAAATGAAAATCCATTTGAATAAAAGCTCCAAATCTTACAGTTTTGTCTCAATTTATTTATTGTTTGGAAAAAACAAAATTTCTATTCAAAAGTAATTTACATGAAAATGAAGTTTATATTAAAAAACCGAAGTCTTGTAAAATGTAATAAATTTTATGATACATTTGTATTAAAACTGTTTTTCAGACAATTTCAGAATTATTTATACCATATATAGTGAGAATCGGAACTTTTGTGAGATTTGAAAAATTGCCAAAAAAGGTTTGAAAGACTTTTCTAATTAGAAATTTAGAAAAACAGATGTAAGAGAAGACAATATATGTGTTGTATATTTGGTGCACAAAAGTGTGTTTCAATTAAATAAATGATTATTAAATTAAGTAAAGTATGAGTTAGTGTTGAAGGGATGGGAATGTTTACAATTGGCAGTAATTTGTTGGTTGTGTTTGCTTTTGTCATCGATTACTCTCAAAATACAATGATTTCACCAAAACTAAGACTAATTCATATAAATTACAAACAAATAATTGTATCAAAAGAGTGTTTGTTGTGACCAACGATTAAATAATAAATAATTTGTTTTATATTCAGGTTTTGACTTATTTTGTGATTTCAATCAAAAGCACAACAAAACAGAGAATAATATAATGAAAATGAAGTCATTTTTTCGCTACTTTTAAAACACAATTAATGATAATTTAAATAATTTGTTTGTCAATCAAATCAGTGAAAGCAAACATCGATATAGTGATGAGTGGGAAAACCCTACACCTATTTGTGGGAATTTATATAAAAACAATTGATCTAAAAATCCGATATAAAATATAAAAACATAATTAATGCACATTTAAGTCAATACTCGTATAAATAGTGAAAAAGTGACAAATTTTGATGAATAGAGAGTCGTTGACAGAGAGAACAAGACATTTACAATATTTTAT